ATCTACTAGAAGTGCATGTCACAGATTCTGCATGCATGCAAGCAAAAATTGATTTAATACAGCAGTAAGGCAAGTATCATTACATCTTAAGCTACAGTATAGTAGGCTTTTAATCTGACATACCAAGACAATGTGAAAATCTGTGCACATCTCATATCTTAATAGTTTTCTTCGTTCCTTCATCATAACCTTTCCACAGATTAAACCTTCCAAAAACCTAAAACGTGACTTGCATCAGGAGACCCAAAAAGCACAATGTTCAAAGCCTTTATCCAATACTGAAACATCTTCCTTTATCTTCTTCTTCAGTTCATGGAGGATACAACATGAAAAGACATTATTGTGATTTAATTTCCCGCCGGTACAGGAAGCTCATGTTTCCCCTAACACTCACACAAGCAGCTTGGCTCTTGTCCACTGCTCTCATTTTCTCTGTAATACCCTCTATTGAGTCTCTCACACCATCAGTTGTACTGAAGCCGCAGTGCAGGATAACCAGGTCCAGAGACAGTTCTAGGGTCAACGGATAGCCGGGCATAGCCTATGATCTCTGGATACTTGGGATGCACTTTTACATTTACATTTACTGTGCATTTAATCATTCAGTAGATGCTTTTACCCAAAGCGACTTGCAAATGACAACAATAGAAGCAAAAAGAACGTTTGATGTATTGGAATATGATGTAGTTTAAATAATATTGCATGCATTAGGAACCATTGTTCCTGCTAAGAACAACAGATTAAAGCAGCCTAAGGTGCTTATCTGGTCTCCCAACTGCTGAGACTAGACTGTCGTGATGGTTTTAACAGGGTTTTGGTCACATTTCAGCTGTATGACTAGCTAAACCATCTTAACAACAGCTTGGCCTTGTTGGGAGATCAGCTAAACCAACTTACACCAGTTAAAACCAGCAAACAGCTAAGTTACTTTTTTCATCAGGTTTATGAAATTCATTTTTCAGTATTACTGGAGCTAAAACTAAAAAGAACTGTACTGTAGTTACCGCCTCAAACGTGCCACATAGTCATGTGTTTTTAATCGCCACATGTAGCTTAAAACACCATGAGATATCTGAGAACATGTCTGGGAATAAAAGAATAAAAACTTTTTTTTTTTTTTTTGCTTGAAATCATCATTTGAATTGGGTGATTAGTAATGAAATTTACGTCAATATTCACAAATAAATAAAAATACAACATAGCACATGAGTTATATACTTTTAGTATGAGTTGTAGACTTTTTATAGTATTTTAATGGTTCCTTAAAAAATTCTGATTGTGTGATAGCATGGAAAAAAGAAAATATATGGTTAGAATGACATAAATGGCATGCAAATGATAACACAAATGTTTATTTTTGCATGAACTATTATTTTAATCCTATAAAGCCTACTGTAGTATATTTGATAAATTTCTAACCCCTGTAAATGTTCAACATGATAAAAAACCTGTTGCACTCAATCTACTACATGCCTTCTGTCATCTGACTGATAGTTTATACTTTTTAAGAAGGTAAAAGGCCTTTTAGTGTAATTGTAATAATGTCCACCTTCAGCTAGTGGTTTGTGTGGTTTTTTTTTCTGTAAAATCTTTCTATATTTTTTATAAAGTAAGCATAAGAAAAACTTTTATATTGTTAGTAATATCTCAAAATGAACACTTACTGGACTGAAGCAACTTTGGCTTACTTGATTATCCAGACATCATTTTTTTGAAAATCATGTTCAAATGTGAGTCTCAAATATGATCATCAGGCTTTTGAAAAACATTTATTTGTTCATCTCTCGATCATCATTGTATTGCATTGCATTATACGTTTTAAAACTACAGAGTTTGGATCATAAAACTAAGCATTTAAATATCTTATTGAGACATATTATTGGGAGATGTAGAGTGACAACTGATATTTATATGCATTTCATATAAGCAGTCTGCTATACTGTTAGATCTAATTGATTTACATTACAAGCTCAGAATTTCATCTTATTTTTGGCCATATAAATATTAGCATATACACCAAATTGCATATTTTTACTCAGTTTGGGCCTCTGAAAAAAAAATGTTGATGATGTATAAGATTGATGTATAAATATTATAGTCAAAAAAAAAAGGTTCAATAAACTCTTATTTCAAAATATTAAACTTTACAGACTATTATTTCATTCGTCAGGCTTAAGCCCCTGAATTACTCTCATAGTGCCACTCATGCCCAAGTCTTCTGCTGTGGTAAGCTGACGCGACCCGCGCATTGTTGGTAAAGTGCTTTACTGACAGGAAATCCCAACACTCGCACACAACATTAATATTTACATCACCCTCTGGGTAGACACAAGAGAAAATATCTAGCCTGTAATCGCTCTAAATTTATCCTTTCCATCTCCTGCTTTCTTCCTCCATCCCTGCTTCTCTCAGTCGCCAGCTCTTGAAGCATAGGTTCGCTTTCATTTCCCCCCACAGATGGAGTCGCACTCAGACTTGGACGTGTTCCTTTTTTGTCTCTCTCTTTCTTCCTCGGATCTCAGTAGGAACCTGGCAACTCTCTATCCTTCCGTCTCACTCTCAGTTCATCTGTTTCTGTGCTTTTGAGCTCACAGACGCGGATCCCCATCCTCAATGCCAGTCTGCCAGCGCTCATCATACTGAGCAATCTCCTTTCCTGTTAACTGACTGATTCCAGTTCAGACGTCCTTAAAAGTCCAGCATATGTGCATCTGGTGCTGTCTATAGGATGATGCATTAACTGGACATGAACAGACGATACTCTCAGGAAACAAAACCGGCAAACGACATCTCCTAAATATCTCAAATGTGTCTCTCCTCAACTGGTTTTGCTTCAGGGCCCAGAATAGTAGTGAACTAACACAGTAGTAAAATTGCTTATTTGCACAAATGTAAACTAAAATTAAATTTATTAAAATCACATATTTACGCATAATGTCATTAATTATTTTAATAATTATTATAAATTAAAACCAATAAATATATAAAATATTAAATATTTTAAAATATGAAATAATAATACATTTGTTACATTTGAACCTTCTTTCCCTCAGAAAAACATCCCATTACTGTCTTTAAAAAACGGTTCTTTATTGCCATTGATGGTTCCATGAAGTACCTTTAACATCCATGGAACCTTTCCATTCCACAAAAGGTTCTAAGAAAAAAGGTTCTTCTAAGAATGTACCATTGAAAGGTACTTTGGGGAACCAAAGAATGGTTCTTTAAGGCATCACTTCAAAAACCCCTTCTGGATCCTTTTGTTTTAAGAGTGTATAAAAGATAAATGTGCTATGTTAAATGTTCTTGTAAGAGCTTTCTGTGTCACTCCGCCCCCTTCCTAATTTAAACAAACCACACACGTCCATATATATGTGCGTGCAAGTGTTTGTGATTCTCCAGGTCTCCTCTGGGAGTGTTATTCACACCTTCATTCAAGGCTGGAGCAGATGAAAATGTGTGGTGACGTGGGCCGCTGTTATTGATTTTGGTAGACCTTGTGCAGCGGGGGAGGTTACGTAAGAACAGGCAATTATACCTTGGACTTATGGGAAGAAGGAAACTTCCTGAATGTCCACCTGGATCTTCCGCAGCGCTCTGAACACTGATTCACATGCCTGCAGGTTTCAGCCACTCAGCTGATAAGGTCTGCCTGCTAGTCCTGATGATTGCGTTTGGTTGTGACACACACTCTCGCAGATTTCATCCACTTGTTTTCAGCTGTAGAGGCTGTACTAACTCTATTTCTGTCATGACAACTCTCGGAGGGATTGGCATAGTAATGTACATATTACATTGGCAAACTACCATTGCTTTTCAGACACTCATTTAGATTTCGTCTCACATAGCCAGAATGTTGACCGTCTGATCCACATTGCAGCACATTCTGGCCAAGAATAGTTCGTTTTAAGACGGGAACAGACTTTCTGATTGTTGTTTACAATGACTTGTTCAGATGCAGGTAAATCTGAAATCAGATACAACCCAAAAAGCACAGCTGAATAATATAAAGATGCTCTCAAGGACACTTGGCTTGTTTACTTGCGATTGTCTCAAACAAAACTGTTGAATATCTTTCAAAGACGCGATGGCACAAACCTCACAGACTTTGGCAAATGCAGCGATTTCTTCCTTGGAAGCTCTCATAGTAGCAGACTGGAACTTGTAAACATGATATTGTTTCCAAGTGAACTGAGACAGATTCACAGAATTGTGTAGAAAAATCATGGTTTGCACAAAAATATTAAGCAGCACAACTGTTTTCAATACTGATAAAAAAATTTCTTGAGCACCAAACCAGCATACACTCTTAAAAATAAAGGTGCTTCAAAAGGTTCTTCACAGCGATGCCATAGAAGAACCATTTTTGGTTCCACAAAGAACCATTCAGTCAAAGGTTCTTTAAAGAACCATCTCTTTCTTACCTTTTTATAATCTGAAGAACCTTCTTTCACCACAAAGAACCCTTTGTGAAACAGAAAGGTTCTTCAGATGTTAAAGGTTCTTTATGGAACCATTTGGGCAAAAAGGTTCTTCTATGGCATCGTGAAGCACCTTTATTTTTAAGAGTGTATTAGACAGTCTATATACAGTATATAAACACACCAGTTGAGAACCAGCTGATTTTTGCATAATTTTTGCAGACTTATGCAACTTATGCATCGTTTTGTGAAGTGTATTTTTGCCTGAGACTAATAGTATAATCACAGACAAGTTTGAAAGATCACATTTTATTCGTATGTTGACGTATTACTCACCAGGAAGTTAAAAAGTAATATTCTGGCTCATATTTAACAGTCAACTCACTATTTAGCAAGGACAGTTGCATATTTCCCTAGTAAACGCCTTCCCACAAACTCATGCATACTAAGACCTAAAATGGGCAGCAATTTATTTTAGCTCCATTCCATAGTATGACTTCCACTGAGTGTAGTTTTGCAAATACTTTATGTAATTCTGCATTTGTGCATATAAACGCATAGAAATTAAAGGTGTCTTACCTGTATATGATACAGGCACAGTCTCTGCAGGTGCCACAGTTCTCAATGTCCTGTCCCGTTCGGTATGAGTGTCTTCTGAAACACATACAAGAAATAAATTACCAGGGGTTTTTAAAACTGTGAGCGTGTTGTAATGAAAGAAGGCCTAATAACTTTAATGCTATTGCTGACAGACAGCATAGATTGTTTATTGCACAACCTAAAGCATGTAAAGTATGTTGAATAAAATGCAGCTGAAGCAGCTCATGTTCGTGGCGTCTTTGATGAATCACTCTTGTGAGTGTCTGACAGTTATAAGAGTGAGTCACACCTAACAGGACTATACTATCATTCTGCTTCTGCTTAAATAAAACATTGTTGTTAGTGTGTGTTTATATATTGCGAATGTGAGACAGAAGGCATATTCTGAGAATGCCAAGTTTGCATTATGCATGCATTGAATTTACATGCAGGTATTACAGATATCAGGAAGTCAACATACAAATGGATTAGTTATAGTTGTCTCTGCACATTAAGGCCTGGTTTCACAGACAGGGCTTAGGTTAAGTTTAGGCCAATTAGGATATTTAAGTAATTTTTATAAACATGCCTTAGAAAAAAATCATTACTGATGAGCATCTTGAGACAAAACAAGGGCACTGACATATTTTAAGATCAATCAGTGCAAGTTTCTTTCAGTTGAAAGC